TAGGTCTCTCACGTGTCGTCTTCCGATTCTCTCCCGCATCCCACCTGGGGAGGGAGAGAACTTTTGCACTTAACATATGCTAATTTTTGCAAAGAAAAAAAAAAAACATTCAATTGTAATAGTGGGTATTCACCAAGCAATACAGATCATGTATCAAGTACTCAAACACAGAAGTTATGCCTGCTTACCTTGGATTTAGCATGCCAGCTGAAGTGAAGATTGTTGGTCTCGCTGGGTATTAAGAGATTGAAGGACAATGCATAGTAATTAACCACATCATTCCTCACATAAGACAACTCTGCATCAAGACCTGTAATGAGACAGAAGAGAGTAAGTCGGGGAGGAACAGGACCAGCAGTAACACACCAGAACAAACAACTCCCAGTACCACCAGCTCCACTTGTATTTGAACGTTTAAGCAAATACTTCCTCAAGTCCATAAATTCAATTGTGGGTTTGGAGATTAATGCTCATGCATGTCAGCATTAACAAGACTGCTTCAAATTCTTACAAAACAACAATTTCAGAGAGATGCCGCAGCCTAATAAACAGGTAAAAGTTGGAATGTAATGGAAGGAAACATGACTTGTCATACAATCCTCCAAAAGAATCATTACAGACTTTCTTGAATGTACTCCTGTCTGCTTCTGGAAATCACAGGTCCAGTTCTGCTCTTATTTACAACTGTGTACACTCAAAATAAACTGCTTTGGATTATCAGCTCATTAACTGCAGGTAATTCTTCCTGGAATAGCTCATTTCTTGAGCTGAGACACATAAGCACTAAGAAATTAATGTCAAGGTAATCAGATCATAACACAAAGCACATAATGAGAGGAGGAATGACATTTGTATACCAAGTAATACTAATATTTTTTGTCTACCCTTTGCTTTCTGGACTTTTAAATAAGCCTAGATAATTGAAAGACCCACAAAACTATTTACTACAGAGCACTAAGATGCATTTCCCTAAGTAGATGCATACTCCTGATATGAAATACTTATGATATTAAAAATACTGAAGCTGCCATTATCTTTTGCAGCACACATTCCAAGGTCACACTGAATACAGAGTAGGACCCTACAGCTTGCCCTGGGTGTCATTAGCAATTAGTGGTAAAATAAGCACTACAAGTTAACTCCCTTCCATACAGCTGTAAAATTAATCCCAGCTCCATATCCTCAGGACAAAACCATACTGTATTTGTAATCAGTACCATTTTGTCTTGTCTCATACAGCTTTTCCTCCATTGCTCCCAGTTAAACACTATCCAGGCTCAGCAATATATTGACATGCTAAAAGAACAACGGGGCAAATCAGACACAGGTGCATGCTCCAAGCATGATCTACACAGAGGGAACTGGGTTCAATTAAAGTATTCACAGTACAATTGGGAGCGTAAATAATAGTTATTTTTATTATGGCTAGAAAGTCAAGAAAACTGGAGAGGCTGTGACTCCAAGATGACAGCATTTAAGGCATCTTGAAGTTATTCCAAGAATCTAGGGAATCATGAAAGGGTGTTGCTGGTTGTTTTTTTTTTTTAAGAAAAAAAAAAATCAAAGATAACGAACTGTGTAGACAAGCTGCATTTGAAAAAAGGGAGAACTAGCTTGAGAGAAATAATTCCTCCTATTTAGTGCAAAAACTGGGCACAGATCAGTACAAAGTGATAAGCATTCTCTTATTCCAGAACTTGATTTAATCCACCTTCTTTTCACAAGATACAGAAATACAGCCAAGACATTCCTCTTCATTCTTATTGCTGCTAACCACTTTTACTCCCTGCTGGCTCATTAGTGTCCTGAAACTTAATCAAAACTCAAGAGTATATAATCATAGATACTTGGGGGTGGCAAGGGGGAGAACCCTAGAGACTGGATGCATGAAAAGAATCAACAGAACAGAGTAGTCCCAGGGAGAAATACTCTCAGACAAGATCTTGAACCGAAAAAGATGCAGGTGATGCCTTAAGTGCTGAACGTAATCAGCCTGAGACAGTATATAAAAAAGTTAAACCTTTCTTCTCCAATTTGTCCATATTTCCACTCAATAATAAATGGCAAATGCAAAAGCATATCCATCAGTAAAACAGGGAGGAGGGGGAAGCACACACACACCTTGAAACAAAATAAAACTTTGAAAATACATAAAAGAAACAGCAAACTTCCAAAATAGCTTGCCCAGTTAATTTTTACATGTGTACATGTTCATACATGAAATCTACCTCAGATTTAGAAAACATGGAAGGAGTGTGGAGAATAGCTCACAACTATCAGACACTTGCCATTAGATCCAATCAAGAAGATGGGAAGCTTTACGGGCATAAAATTACTAAAAAAAAGTATTCATATCAAATCCAGCAAGTACAAGTTCTTAAAAAAAAAATTAGGAGGACAAAAGGATTAGCAAGTGAAACAATGAAATTGGAGCAATGAAAGTGCTTTTGGAATAAACAAAACCTTCACTTGCTGATAAATGATCACACCAGCGATTAGGGGTTCACAAAAACAGGATTTCAGAACTTGTAACACCGTGAGATTTTCAAGGTGCTAATCCTTGATGTAATATAAACTTTGTAGAGAAACTGGTCATAGAAATCAAATAGGTACACAGCAATAAAATTGCCTGTGTTATAAAAACTGGCCTTTATGAAAGTAATGTAAGAGGCAATCCTAATTGAAGCTGTCAAGTATAAATATCTTGATGTGCAATGTCTAAAAGGTGTACAAAACCAAATTACCCTACAGAAGATCAATCAAATCTTTAAGCTTTAATAGTGGTACAACACTGAGTACTTTGATTATATAGCCCACTAATGTTTTAATGCCTGTACTGCCATAAAAAGCTACACACTAACAGGTGATACTAATTATATGAATTTCAACAGCATCATGTAAGAGCAGCATGAGAATCAATGTCAAGTTTCATTGCTTCAAAAAATTATGCTCTCATTAAAAGACTGGCATATAAAAATAATTTAAGAGGTTTTGTAGTACAGCTCTTAACTCATAAAAAAGGCAGAAGATTGCCTGGCTTAGTATCCTATTTCTATCAGGGGTCTACAGAAAATGCCTAGGAAAGAATATAAAACAGAAGTAAATACACAGTGACACTTTGCCAGTAGATCCTCCGTGCTTCTAGTGTTTGTGGATCACAAACTTCCTAAACTAACAGGCGGTATCTTCCAACAGCTTCCCATTAGATTTTTTTTTTCTTCTATGAATTTGGATAAATGCTTTCTCAAACCCTGGAAACTGATAGATACATACTTGGGGAAATGTCAGTGTTTCAATACTGCATGGTATTTTTTCCTTTTTAGTTTATCAACAATTAAAACATTTATTCTATAGCACATCTTTTCCCATCAGCGAACTACAGACAAAATTCAATTTGCCATGCACAGCTAAGAACCTGTGTCCACACCAGACAAGCAAGCTCCCATCTCCCTACCTCTAATCCGCCACCATATAGTTTTGCTTCCGGGCTATCCTTCCATCCCTAATTTTTCATCCCTTTGCTGCCTCCCCCACCTCAATCCTGAATTCCTGAAGCACCTTGTCTAAATAATTGATCTCAATCAGGCAAGCAAAACACATAAAAAATTGCAGTTGAACCTGCCAGTCAAAAAAAGCACCTTTCCTGTGCTCCGGGCAGGCAGCCAGGCAGGAAGGTGTGTTCTGCCCGACACAAAGGAGCCCAGGTGCCGACTACCAGCAATGCCGGGAGCCACACAGCGTCAGCTAAGGAATGACACAGGGCACTGCAGCAAACAGCGGTGGAAGCCAGAGCCGTAGCTCACCGGTCAGTTGCGTGATCTGAGTATTCTTGATGCAGGCTGCCATCGCTTCGGTCACTGCATTCCTGGGCTTCCTCTGTTTTGTGACTCTTCTGCTTAGAGGAAGAGAAAATTTCCCTATACCCAGAGAAATTGGCTGGGCGATGCTGCAGCACCGTGTGTGCTCACGAGCTCCACGGCGGGTGGACTCCAGACTTCTACGGTTGGTAGATTTTAGCCAAGATAAGGTATGCTTTTCTCAATGCCACATGGGTTGCACAGGTTAAATTCTCACCAAGAAAAACCACGGCACAGCCTGCCAGGCTCCAACAGCCCTGCACTGCTGAAGACAGAGGACAAGGATGCCACTGCAAACACGCTGGGCAGGTCACATCCAACGCCTCTCTTCCCACAAGTTCAGATCAAGAGGACAATGATCAGCCTCGGTGAAATGTCAAACAGGTTCAGTTATGTTCAGTGAATACTGGTAGTAAGCTACCTCTATTCAATCAGATACTTTGTTCCTTGTTATCTACGCACCTTTTTACACACACAGCGAAGTGGTGCCTCCTCATTGCTTAGATTTCCAGACTGATCAAGTGCTATTATTAACTCTCTCTGGAGCAGACATTAAAAATGGTTAAGGAGTTCACAGAAAACACTTTAGGCTTCATTACCATGACAGTTTAAGTCTAACTCAGAATTGCTTTAATTCTGCATTTCACCTTTTTTCTTCAGACGTGCATATTTACACCTGCCTTGCAATGTTCCTTATTTAAACCTTCAGCAAGCCAAGTTCAAGGAGCAAGCTAGCACTAGGTGGGGAGAAAAAAAGTGGGGGAACACTCCTCAGTCAGTTTAACTCCCTGAATTAGTGAGGATGCTCAGGAGCACCCCATACAGAGGGCAAGACTGCAACAGCACTAACTTAGATGGAGCTCGTACTGAAATAGTAGTTACCTTATCCAGGTAGTCTATGCTTTTTTTCAAAGCATGCTTTGGGCATAGGTAGCTTCGAAAGATGGTATCAAATTAATCAAGTCACTGTCAATACACAGCGTAAACCAACAACCTCAATTTTTTACTTTTTTTAAAATGTGTAAATCTCTTTCAAACACAGGAGCAGCGTAAGGTGTAATTAGCCTATGTAGCAGGTTGCTGAGGAAAAGAAGATAGAAACAAGGTTTGTTTTGCCAATTGTTTCAGATTTCAAGAATGCTTAGTAAACTACTAAACTACTACACTAAAACCTACTGACTGGTAGAGGGGGAGGGAAAATGTAAATCTGAAAGATGTCGGGTTCCTCCTAAGGTGTTGAACGCTTTCACCACCTTGCACTTTTAAGTAGGGCAAATAGACCAGCATCCTGGAACAAACCCAAATTGGTATGTAATGTTTTATGTCATATTTGGAATGATAAAAGGAGAAAATGGGTGGCTCTAGAAGAAAAACACAGATGCATTATGAACAGCTAGAGAAAATAGGCAGTTCTTCAATAATCATTTTCTAGGCAAAGCAGTAAAACATAAAGAAAGGGGTGGAGAACCCTACAAAGAAATACCAAAAAATTGTTGGGTTACATAAACTGCAGAGGAGGAAAAGAAGCTTTTCAGAAATGCTTCTATTGGTTTAAGCAGTGTATTGGCGATCAACAATGAACAGTTTTAAAACATAGGCTGCAGTTTTGCTTTGGCAAGCCTCCTTAAACAAGTCCATATGTAGACAATGCAGGATCTAGTTTCTCATTACTTGGACTTGACTAACCTACATCAACCCACGTGAAAACAGTAAGACCAATGCTTTGCTTTGATTTCAAGGCAAAAACGCCACCCTTTTACCCAGGCAACCCCTAAATCTCATTATTAACTTCTACATCTTTGTACCTCCCACCCTTGGGTGCAAACTTGAAAGAATAAATTAAAGTTGAACACAAACAAAAAGGTAAATTTAAGCAGCACCATAGAGAAAGTCTGTCATTCTTTGCACTGTTTAACATAACAAAACATCTGAAGAAGCTCAGAAAGGAAGGGGAGAGGCCTATTTTCATTCCCAAAGGCAAAAGATGCTGAGCAGCCTTTGTGTTCATGACAAAATTGGATCATGTCAGTCTAGCAGCCTAACAAAACACTTCTTTTCAAATGCCCTTGTGTAAATGCAGTCTAGCTTCAACTCTTTTTTTTTTCCTTTTTAAGCACAATATACAAAAGAAACTAGCTGCTATCAGCATGGGAAAAATTAGATTTTATTCTTATGAATCAAATCTATCCTACAACATGCACTAGTATTAACACATTCTTCTTAAAGACAACAACAGTATTTAGGTGTCTGTTACCCCAGGTTACAGACTTCAAATCATCATAATTCTGGAAGATTATGCCTAAAAATCAAGAATGAATGTGCAATGTAAGAGTTAGATGAGATTGCTCTTACTGAAATACTGCTTGCTGCAATATGAATATTAGCTCTAGTCTAATAGCAATCTGCTAACGACAGCTGACATAATTGGCTCTCCCAGCTGCCTACCCAACTTTCTGGTAGATTCCTGTCTGTGTACAGAAATGACTGAAATTAGTGCCCGTTTTCTTCATACACTGGTCTGTAATTTGTGTTTCTTCATAAGCAGCTGAGAAATCTCTGCAGTGTGACATCAAACCACCACAGCCCTCACAAAGCAAGCCACTCCTGCTCCTGACTCACCACCACTGAAATACATTAATTGAGAAGAGTTACACAGTTAAACAAGTTATTATCTTTATATAAACATTCCATTTGTTCAGAGGTTTACATGAACGAGAACATTCTCCAGAGAACGATGCCTCCACTCCGGAGCAGCTCGTCTGGGTTAGCCCTCTGGCCAGACCAGAAGCTTCCGCTCCAGGGTGAACATCTACATGAAATAATATGAACCTCAAGCTTCAACATCCCTTCAGACCATCCACTTCCCAAGTCTGTGCAACCTACTCCATAAACACACAGGATTGTCCCAGCACTGGACAATTTACCTTGTTGAAGAAAGATTTTTTTTCTCCTTCTATTTTCCTTTCATTAGAAGTGCACCATCAGTCTGAAACACTGACTTTAAATCCTAAACTTTCCTTTTTTTGCAACAGGTTCTGCAAACACGCGCTGGAAAAATTCTGCTATTTTCATACCATCAGCCTAAGCCCAAGGAAATGTGGTTGAAGAATTAAAAATCAGCTCTCGACTACTGAAACTTTTTTTTTTCAGGGTAGAAAGAACACTTTCCCAGAGCAAGCCTTCTTAGTTTGAATGTATTTAATTAGTTCACTTCAACAATCAGCTTACACGAGGCTGAAACTACAACTGGGAGTTAAAAAAAGAGGAAATCAAATACAAGCTGATCCACACAGATCAATTTAATTTAGAAAATAGCAAACTAATGGAAATGTAATACTAAGCATCTGAATATATATACGCATACACTAAAAACTTCTTATATCCTATTTGTACATATCTAGTATATACAACAATGAAAGTGAACTTTCCTTTAATAAAACAAGTAACAGATTATAGCCTTCTACTTGCGTTTTTACTTAAGTTTTCCACAACGCTACAGCCTGCCAGTTATAGCTGTTGGTCAGGAATTTAGGCTGAAATACTTGCTTTTAAACATCTTACAGGCCATGAGTCTCTGGAAAAGATGACTGATGAAAAATATCACAGGAAAAAAAAGTTAAATCTTAAGTAACACGGAGATGATGAAGAAACAGCTTTTCACTCTCTAACACAGGTGCCAGAGAACATCAAAGGACATTGTTCAGTGTCAAGTTTGAAAGACAAATCAGCAGTCACAAATCCATCAATACTCACTAACACACTTTCTACCTTTTGCTTACAAACATTTCTTCCCTGGCTGTTGAATAGTCCTTCCGCTCACCATCCACATGACACTTAGGAAAAAACCAAGAGAAAAGAATCCCCCATTTTGGGGGGCAACTTCCTACCTCTACATGAACTTCTTCATTACCTACACACATCTATCTCACCAAAGAGCTCTCCAACCCACTTTTCTAAACTTCAGTCTATGCTTTGCTAGAAAGAAGTGTCTTATAATCCAGTACCATAGACCTTGGGAAAAAAAAAAGCCACAGTATCAAGTCCATGCAAAACAGACTAGAAATAAAGTCACAGGTTAACACATCACCAAAGCATACTGAAACATGCAAACCCTTCGTGGAATTGCTTAACATTAGCTTGTTAACATAACACACACTGATTGGCAAGGCCCCAGAATTAAATTCATTCTCACCTCCATGGAAAATCTCTCCTACCAGAGACTGATACCTCACTGCAAATAGCACAGTTGCTTTGCAAACTCACGTAACTCTGCCCAGGGGTAGCAGAGAGCATATGGACTGTGGTTATTTACACAAATGCCTTTGCTACCTGTGCAGTTAACTTTTCACAAGCTGGAGATGGAAAACAATATGTAAGGCATTCAATATGAGGAAATACTCAACATAACTTCAAGGCAATGATTGCATCCTTGAAAACCAACCAAGACTCCCTAGCAGGGAATATTAGTAAGAAACTTCCCAACATCTAGCACATAGGAGGAAAAACTCTTAGCTGAGAGCTCTCATTAAATCCTCATGAATCTTCACTGACAGATCACCCACAATTCACCTTATTGATGCTGTTAAACAGAATTTGCAAGTTCAACACCACAGGCAACAGGATTTTTCTCACTGAAAGGTCTTTGTGAAAGTCACAGAGTAGACTTCTTCCCTTCTACGGGAAGAAGCTTCCCCCCAGGAGATGGCACCTGCTGAAGTGAAAGCATATGGCAATATTTAACTCAATCCATACCAAAAGGAAGACATTAATTGTTCCTAGGACCCAACTGCTTACCCTTTTGTCTTTGAACAACGGCAACAATTACATTTCAACAGCCTGCCTGCTTATTCTTCTCTCCTTCACCTACAGAAAAATCTTCATTTTTCTGATAGGTAGGATATAAAGGCAGCCATGAAAATGATTAGAAGATGACACTCTCCTTAAGAAAGGGGGGGCAAGAAAAAAATTAAAAAATCCCCCCCCCCCTAA